TTCTTTTGATTTTTTTTATTTATACAATCCTCGAGATTTTGAATTTTTCCGTTTCTTATTTTATTTGGAATTTTTTTTAGAATCCCTAAAAACTATACACCTCATTCATCCCCCGAAAATCTCTGGTTTCTCAAATGATGTAATCCTTTAGATAATCTTTCGAGATCTCAAAAGATTATCTAAATATATATTTCGGGAAACATACATAACCGGGTAGGTGGTCTGTGAAAAAACGTTTTCTAGCAGAAAATATGCAAACTACAAAAAAAATAGTGGCAGGTGAAAAAAAAAGATACGTGTGACTTTCTAAATAATTAATTAAACTGATCCAATTAGATTGATGATTTTAGTTTACTTGGATAGAGCTGATGAGCGCTAATTAAATTCTTTCATACAATTTTATTCAAACAAGATAATGTGGTAAATATTAGCCATATCCAGTCAAGATTGTATCTTTGGGATTTTTTTTTGAAATTTCTGGAAAAAAATTGGTTAGCCACATTTTCAGACACCTCAAAAATAAGTCCCAACTTTTTAGTCGGAATTCCAGATATTTTAAATTCAAATCGGACATTTAAAAATAGTCAAATAAGGGAAATTTTCGATACAAAGACACCTAACCAAAAAATTGCCATTCGTTCTCTTTCTTCTACTTTTTGCACATTTTGGAGTCTCCATTTCTCCATGACAACCAAATGAAAACGTCCCCGCCGTCCGTGTCTTTGACCAAAGAGCATATTCATATGGAAACCCCAACACTCGAGACTAGTACGAACACTGGTTGAATGGTCAGACATACACACTTTGTAATAAACAATTAATTATATGTATACGAATCATGTATTCACGTTTACAGGGATCAAAACGTTCAATAATGTAAGACTTTATTATGCCATACAAGTTATAAATTGCACAAAAAACATTTTTTGAATTAATTTCAGAACAACATTTCAACACAGGTCCTGGGCGCGCATACGCATAATGGATGGGCGACGGAGGACGCGCCGATGAATTGGGTACAGGGAAAGGACGCCGGTAGGGGGCATATACGGGGCATGTGGGGCACACCGCTACCGCATTTTTTTTTCATTTGTTCAAAAAATGTCTCACTTTCACTTTTTTGAAATTACATGAAAAATTGAAAAATTTTATAATTTACACTTTGTAATTATTGTATACTTACCAACTTACCTTTTACTCCACCTGAAAATACGATTTTTACAATAATTACAAAGTGAAATCAAAAAATCTCAATATCACCTATTTTGGCGAAAAACATAGCAATTGACGAGTGAAAGACATGTTTCTGCAAGAATTCAGCGATTTTTTATTCTGCCATAACTCTTTTTCACAAAAAACATCGAAGGAATAATCGAAAAACCAGAAATGTAGGCTCGAATTGACGAAAAATTGACAAAGTTGCCGGTGTGGATTTACGGTAAACAATGGGCGCATCCGGGATTTCGGAGTGTTGTAGTCTGCCTACCGTATCAGACCCATATCGCACACATCGCCCACCCACCTAGAATCCATCTAGGATACGCGCGCATTCGTAACACTCGATTCAGCCTCTTCCGCATCGCACACATGTGAGACTCATCGCAGCTCGTTGTTCGCGATATGTGTCAAACGGACTTCTAGAGGATCGCATATGGATCGGGTCCTTTATGCGCATCATCGCCCAGGACCTGTGAACATCTAATAATCCGCGCTCATGAAGTTGATTTCATCATGACTGATACTATCTGCCCCTACCCAAGCCACGTACGGGTCATTTCTTGTAATCCTGGCTCTGGGTGCACCCGAACTCGCGGCTTGCGGCGCGCTGACCACCAGTGTAGACCACAAGGCCACGCGTGCAACAGAAGAGAAAGGGAAAGGAGTGCGAATACAAACGAGCGGATGGTGGAGAGGCGAGGTGGAAATAGGGGGAAGGGAGAGAGAAACTAAATCCTGACTTTGAACTGATTCCATTAATTTTTTGACTCTTGACCACTCTCATCATTACGTTCAGTGTCTGATTACCTTCCCTCTCTCCTCCTTTCTTTTTGTCAACCTATCTGCGTCTCTTCTTATCTTATCTCGTGACGCAATTTTCTTTTTGCCGATAGACCAGAAACATTTTATTCTATACGGAAAAAAACGATGAATTCTGAAGCTTTGATTTGCGAAATTTGCGGACAGGAAGCGCGCGGAAGTCACTATGGAGCGGTGGCCTGTAGAGCTTGTGCGGCATTTTTCAGGTTAGTGATGGCCTAGGTTTTTCTAGGCCATGTCCGTTTTTAATGGGTCTTCTTAATAGAATTTTTCATCAAATTTCGGAATATCTGAAATTCTGAAATTCTGAAATTCTGAAATTCTGAAATTCTGAAATTCTGAAATTCTGAAATTCTGAAATTCTGAAATTCTGAAATTCTGAAATTCTGAAATTCTGAAATTCTGAAATTCTGAAATTCTGAAATTTTGAAATTCTGAAATTCTGAAATTCTGAAATTCTGAAATTCTGAAATTCTGAAATTCTGAAATTCTGAAATTTTGAAATTCTGAAATTCTGAAATTATGAAATTCTGAAATTTTGAATTTCGAAGATCCCAAAGTTTACAGAATTTTCAAAGCCCCGGCCACTTTTCCAGACGCACTGGAACCTCAAAACACATCAAACCTTGCTCTCGAAAGAAGCAATGCAAGTTTTTCAAAAACGGATTTTTCACTTGTAAATTTTGTCGACTTCAAAAATGTTTCACAGTCGGAATGAGCTCGGAAAGTAGGTCAAATTTTTGAGCGGCAAATTTGAATTTTTTATAAATTTTCAGCTTTCCAATTTGATCGAGATGCGTATAAAGTGAGAGAAATGGTTCAATTGGATAGAAGAATTCCAATGGTGGGGTTTGAAAAAAATTCAACAATTTTTTAATTGAGAATCGAGTAATTTTTGTGTCCCGGCTTACGAAGATCTCATGGTTTTCTGTGTTGATAGTTTGACAGACAGATTTTTAAGACAAGATCACTTTATTCAATAACTATTACATGAAAAATACAGTTACGAGTAATGCAATGAGGAGAGACGAATGATTTGATCCGTTGTCTTCTTCTTTTACTTCCGATTTTTCCCTTTGAACTCTACTTTTGCACAATCCACTATCGGTTTTTCCGTGTGGACAAGCACTTCCTGGCGGTCCATACTTGAAATCAGATTCATAAGGGTTATTTCTGGAAAAAGAAGGAATATAAAAATAATTCTTCAATGTGTACTTACTTCGGCCCTACAGCACACATTAAAAAAATATCGCAATCATTTTTCTGGTAACAACCAAATTTCGTTTCCACTGGGTGAAAGAAAGAAGCGGATTTTTCTAGTAGCTCTTGCGTGACCTGTTACAAATAAATTTTTAAAAAATTTGAAGGCTTCACGCGAAACAAACGATTCAAGGCATAGCGATTAATGTAGGAAATTGGTGTCCTAGTTTTATCTGATTCGCTGAAAAAACCAAAATTCAAAAGGTTCAAAAGAAGTTAATTTGTTAGTGAACCGACATCGTTGAGGTTTTGATAGTCTAGGCATCACTTTTCTCCATACTTGTAAAATTCCGGGCCGGGCCTGAGGAATTTTTCAAGGCCCGGCAGGCCCGGTGTCAAAAATTCTGTATTTTTGAGCCAAATTTTGAGCTCTCAATATAATTTTTTCCATTTTTTTTTGTATTTCGGATTGTTTGTCTGTCTGATCAAAAAAGATCGAAAAACTCGAAAAAAAAATTTTTGGTCGAAAAAAATCACATAAGGGTCCCCCCTTATGTGTTTTTTTTAAATTTCGAAACTAGTGAAATGACGGGCCCGGGCCGGTCATAACTTTTTTGTGAGAGGCAAGGGGCAAAAAATAAAAGCAGCGCTGTGATCAGCGTGTCCAAAAGTACCAATGACCAAAGTTTGAACAAATTCTCAAACACTGTCTGAAAACACTTCCCTTGTTAGATATTGGTGGCAAAATATGTGTCTTCCCTGGACTAGCACAAAACT